ATAACGTGCAGGAGTCATTTGTCTTTTTGCAGCTTAATATTCACAGACACTATATAGTCCATATCGCGTTTTGATTCAAGTGTACTGACCTACTTTTGATTTATTCATCCAAAATGTGGTATATTCCTTGACATTCCGCGTAATAGGAGTTCCGTTTTTATGACTGGATTCTACGAACCACTCTGTGTTTTCCGCATCGTGGCTGTATGTCTCATATTTTAGAGTAGTCAGTGCAATCTGGGAAATAAATCAATTAAATCTGAATGTGGGCGTGTAAATATTCAAATATAACCCCCTTTGTAATCGTTAACATTTTCATAAGTAACTGTAATTTAATTACACATTTTTTCTTAGTAACTGTAACTGATTACAGTTACATTTATTTTGTAATTAAAGTACGTAACGCCGTTACATGTAACTAGCTACTCCCCAACACTGTTTGTCACTTTGACGTGTCACTTAAGGTGTGATTATGAGTACATCACATAAGAAAGATTGGTGGGATCTCTAACTTGTAGAACCTCTTTCTGTATCATCAACAGAAGGAAAACACAAGTGTAATACAATAGATTTTATTAACAAAAGATAGACAAGAGTAATCAACAGCTGCTAAAGGAATACCATAAACGAAAAAGGAATAAAGTGCATAAGTTGCATAAAATGCAAGTGATTATGTTGGGTGTTGATATGTCAGAGCTACATTATCTGGAAAGAAAAAATGTTGCAACTCTGAAAAAAGTAAGGTGAAGAACCTTATTATGCATCAAACAAATACGTGAAAGATTCGAAAAAGGAATAAAGTGCATAAGTTGCATAAAATGCAAGTGATTATGTTGGGTGTTGCTATATCAGAGCTACGTTATCTGGAAGATAAACTGTTGCTACTCTAAAACAAATAAGGTGAACAACCTTATTATGCATCAAACAAATATGTGAAAGATTATTTGTTATCAACTGCAATCAGCTATATAACATCTAATGTAAATTAGAAAAATCATATACTGATATTATACAACAATGCCAAGATCTCTGGAAGAGGTTTGGATAAGTGATAGTTACGTTCTCTGTGGTTGAGCGAGCAGTCCGGTAGCGGTGACTTCATCCACTGGTTGTGCTGGTAACGATGCAAATCCGTTTCAAAAGCCTTGAACACGAAGCACTGTAGGATGCTGATCTCCTAGAGCACCAAAGGGTCCTAAAATCTGGAACACACAGATGTGGCCCTGGAGTAGGTGCAGAAGGTTCTTGCCTGGAACACGCAAGAAAAAGTACCTTGAAGTGAAGGGTTGCTCTCCGGAGCTTAACCTTGTTGCAAATGTCTGTGTGTCTTCTGCCTTTCTGGGCTAGAGACTCAGAACTTGGTCAATCCACTTTGTCTCTCTAGGATGGAGACTGAGGACGTGCTGCATCTGATGTTGTCTCGCTGGACGAAGACTCTAAACGTAGAAGATCTCTCTCCTCACAGGCTGGAGGCTCAGAACATGGTCGTATCTGTTGCTGCCTCACAAGCTGGAGACTTAGGACTTGGTATCTGTTATTGCCTCTTCCTGCATGGGCCAGTGGCTCAGAACGTTGATGTTTCTGTCCCTCAGGATGGAAGACTCAGAAAGGAGTTTGATCTGCTATTGTCTCACACTTGCGGGGCTCAGACTCAGAAAGTTTGTGTCTGTTACAGTCTCACCTTCACAGGCCAGAGACTCAGAACAGAGGTGTTTCTGTTAGTGTCTCTCTGGACGTGCTGGAGACTCAGAACTTGTTGATCTGTTACTGTCCCTTCCCTTTCGGGACTCAGACTCAGAACTTGTTGATCTGTTAGTGTCCCTGCCTTCGCAGGACTCCGACTCAGAACCTGCTCTGTTAGTGTCCTTTCCCTGACAGGACTCAGAACTTTGGTGTTTCTGTTAGTGTCTCTCTGGACAGAGGTTGATCTGTTACAGTCCTTTCCTTGACAGGACTCAGACTCAGAACGGAGGTATCGGTTGCTGTCTCCCCTGTAGTGGGCCGCAGGCTCCGACCGGTTGTGTCTGTTGCTGCCTTCCCTGAAACAGGACGGAGACTCAGAACAGACGGCCAAACACACATTTAGAAAATTGTCATTAAAGTTTTACCAATGCATCATTCACTTACCAAACCACAACCAGAATACCTTTGGCAATATTTCGAACGCTTTAAGTCCAAACATGATGGAAGAAGACTGAACTGTCATGCATGCATTCATGTGTGCATTAACAGCTGAGTTTGTGCAAGATGTTGCACTACACATTGCTGTCACTGAGAATACTTATTTCTCTGAACTAGTATGAGATGTGTGTTGTAGTTTGCATCAGTTTAATGTTTGAGAACATAGTTTTGAATGGATTTGGATGGAACTCTGTGATCTCTCTTTGTTTCACCCACTGCTATTTATTGTTTTTGTTGTGGCCTGTTCAAATTAACTATGGACTAATTCAAAGAGAATTATTTAGTTGTGCTATTATAGTATTATTCGGTTACTATTATAGTTTGTGTTTTTAATTTTTAATTTTTTTTGCTTTCACTTTTACATTTTAGTCAAATTTAAGTAATTATTTTGTGTTTTTGGCATTTAAAAATATATATATATATATATATATATATAAACATCACTCTGAAAGTGTTTCCAACAATATTGCTCCTCTGTTGTCCTTTTGTATTTTTAAAACTTTATGGTTTTAGATATGGCTTTTGTTGTGAACTGGTCTTAACTCTTGATACCACAATGTGAAACATCGATCTTCTTTACAGTCTACTTCCCATTGAAGACTTTTATGACATAAAATAAAACACCTTTATGTAGTAAATGTATCTAAACAGGGGAAATAATTTATTTTAAAAAATGGCCACATTTTAACTACAGTGAAGTCACAAATTAATAAAGCATGCTTACATAATAAGTTGTGTAAAAAGGGTTGCCTGTAGAGATCAAAAATGGTCAGGTCTGTCAGTTTCAGCAAAATGTCCATTATTGCTAAAGGTTTGCTGCTGGTTGACCAGTGAAGCGTTGTAAACCTGTAGCAGTTATTTGTAAGAAAGTGATTTCTTTGCCAACATTTACCACATATTAACTGCAAGTTTACCCTAAGTTTACTTTTTTTAAGGCAAAAAAATGCACACGTGAATGCACACATATCACTAAAAACAGAGAGACTGCTTGTATACACATTGCACCATAAATAAGTAGATATGTGTTGGTTGGTGTCACTCTGTGTTCTTGTTGGTTGGTGTTTGTTAAATGCTGTTAATGTCTCATCTTATTTTAATTGTCTCTGTTTTAAAATTTCTTGAGTTTTATACATTTCGCCATATAAACACTTGACACAATTGGGCACATTACAAACTGTACTGTATGGGTTGATCTATGGGTTAAAGGTTTACTCAGTGCTAGTTAATGACAAAATGTAAATGTATATATAAAGTCACATTTAGAGATTGCTCATTTGGAAATATTCCTACATTTTAGTGCCTCCTCTCTTTGTGAAGGAACCTCTGGACATGTGAGTGTTTAAATATCATTCAAATATTATATTTTAATGTTTGTTTGCATTTGATTACAATGTATTTTTCTTTTGGACCACCTCGGAAGTGAATACATTGGCATATTGGTATATATATCCTCCTGACTACCAGGAAAAAACAGTTTTGTGAATTTAGTATTTTGTCATGTCATTACATTGTTTAGAGCATAAGAAAAATGTTGAAAAATAAAATTGAAAAGGCAAAAATAGTGGGATTTTTGTTTTAACCAGAAATAAATTTTCATTTTTTTATACCAAACTTTATATAAAGATGATTCTCAACTATGTTATGAAAGATATTTTTAAAAACCATTTTTCTTTATGCAAAATGTGTGTAAAATGGCCATAAACGAGTTTTTCCATTATATACAATGTATCTATAAACTGTATCTAATTTGCATATTAATGTGTTTTGGGGCAACATAGAATGAACAAATAAGTGCAATAATGGGAGTAATAATTAGCAAGATTTTCATAATAATATCTAATATTTAATAGGAATATTGATATATAATTTTTTCTCTATTCATTTGTTGTGTCTCCCAAAATGTGTAATAAACATGCTTTAAGTCCTGGTGTCCTCTACAGTGGACATGTATGAAATTGATGTCCTGTTTCATAACAGAAGGTCATATTTTGATTTGAAACCCCATAACATTTTCCTGAGATGTTGATTTATGACAAACAATTTGTCAATTCATCAGATTTAAATGATAATTACTAAATATTATCATATTTGCATTAGGGTGTTACATTTGATCACTAAATGAATGTCAGCCATTTTTAAAGACCAAAGAGAGAGAGTGGTCATGGTGAAACATCCAATCATTTGGTATCTCTGGAAAGCCCTGAATGTGCTCTGTACAGGACATCCAGACATAAAACTGTGACATGTAACGTCTCAGAGAAATAATTAAAACATAATGTCCTCTACAGTGGACAAAACTCCATAGCTGGTAGTCAGGAGGATATATATATATATATAGAGAGAGAGAGAGAGAGAGAGAGAGATCAAAAATTAGACACATTACATTAGACACCAAGGCAGTTTAACAGTAACAAAATTGTTCATGATTTCACGATTTTGCACCTCTTTCATGGCTCATAGTTCATCATGACAGTGGAGGGCAGTCCAGACAGGTCCACTGAGCCCAGAACAATTGAGTACTCAGGTCACAATCAGAAAACACCTCAAACTAAATGCTGTTCTCCAACTCTAAAGGCAAGAGACATTGTTTTTGACAATATGCCACAATCTAAGTTTAACTAAACCACTATAAACTGATAATTAGTTTTAATGGTGAAAAATAATGGTTATAGCTAAATATTTCTGACAAATACTATGATAAATTCTGATGTAACAACAACAACAAGACTATATAATACTGACTTAATCTCTCTTCTGCCCTTGTGTCTGCAAAGATCTTTATTGGTTTACTTGCCTTCTGTTATTTCACAAAATCCCTGACGGGGGCTTACACCAAAAGTACCATCACTCAGATTGAGAGGCGGTTTGAGATCCCAAGCTCTACTGTTGGCATCATCGATGGCAGCTTTGAAATGGGTGAGTGGTGATGTGTTGAGCTCCAGTGAGAAATGAGGGATGGGGTTCAGCCATTAGAGCACTTATACCAGTGAGTCACACCACTGATGCTTTAATGTGACGGAAAGGCTGTTCATACTTTAAAAATGGGATATTTGATTGATGGTATGCTGTGAAACAAAATATAACTTGTTAAATAACATAACATTTGCTTGCAGGTAATTTGTTGGTCATTACTGTTGTTAGCTACTTTGGCTCTAAGTTTCACAGGCCCAAGATCATTGGGGTCCTGTTGATGGGTGTAGGGACACTGTTAATGGCTTTACCTCACTTCATCATGAGCCAGTGAATAACATTTATCAGTCAATGACAAACTGAGTGTCCACAATGAAGAATAGGAAATATCCCTTAAACATCTAACTTAAAACACATGTGCAAATCCTTAGAAAGGTTCCCCTTCAGGAACTCGAGCTGCATCGAGTCGCTTTGCGTCTCTAGGTTACGTATGTAACCATGTTTCCCCGAGGGAACGAGACTCTTTGCCATACTCCCTGCATCCCTGCAGGCGCTACTTCATCGAAGCTGGTTTGCGCTCTGCTGGATGCGCTTTTATACTTTCTGGTGCTTACGTCACCCTGCTCGTGACGTCTCGCTGCTCCATTGGACTGATTTGACACGTGCTTCAGAACGCGGTCACGCAAGGGCGTTCCCAAAGCGACTCGACGCAGCGTCTCGTTCCCTCGGGGAACCATGGTTACATACGTAACCTAGAGACGTTCTTTTTGTATTCATGTTCAGTTTCACATGGTTTTGAAAAACTTTTATAACATTTGCAAGAAAAGTTCCTGCTTAATGACTAAAAAAAAAAGTCATCTGTAGATGCTGTAGACCCTCATGATAGTTCTATAACCCTTTGACTATATGCCACCCAAATTAACTTTAATTCAGATACTAAAAACATGTCCATCATAAAAGAGATGTATTTAAGCCACTGTGTTCATTCAAAGGTGCTCCTTTTAGGCAATAAGTATAGATATGTACTTTTTTTTTTTCTATCTTTTTTTCTGACAGATACAAGTACGATACAGCTGCCGCCCACAGTAATGATGCTGATAATTTCACAGTGAGCTCCACATGCTCATCTGACAACCAGAGTACTGTTCAACAGCTTGTTTCCGGTAATATGTGGTGAATATGTGAGAACGCATGTGGGATATTGTAATTGTAAATTGCAGTAAAATACCTAACAGAGCACACTATATGGGTTGTATAGGGTGTCTAAAAGAGGAAGCGGAAAGCTCACCCACGTGGGTGATTGTACTGTTTGGAAACATTTTGCGTGGCATAAAATTATTATTATTATTGTTATTTATTTTATTTTTTTATCATATCAAAGCTACCCACGTTTCACGTGATTTAGTTTATTTTGTTATCTTTTTCTTTTCTGTAGGTTGTCTGCACACACTTGGAGTGATCGGGCCATTTTTTGGTTACTCACTTGGATCTCTGTGTGCTAGTTTCTATGTGGACATTGGCTTAGTGAATCAAGGTGAGTTAAAATTGGTATACTGCCAAATTAAAATCGGTATACACCCACCTTAGTAGTCACTCACAAAAAAAAATATCAAAAAGAAGAAAAATATTACTTTCTTTGCTATGACATGTACCATGGTAGTACTTACTCTTTAAAGTACCGGAGTATCATGTAAATACCATGGTACATGAATATAGTAATGGACCAGGGTAGGGTCAGAGAGTCTGTTGGGTCTGGAGCAGAGGACCACACTGTTTAGCACCGGTGGAGCAGAAGATCATGGGTAGCAAGAGGCCTAGGGAGATCTGATGGAACCAGAGGACCAGAGGTGGCTCAGGAAAACCCAGTGGAGCAAGAAAACCCAGATAGGCCATCAAACTAGGATGACTCAGGGATTTTAGCTAAGTGGGCAATGAAAGAGAAGACTTGGGAAGATTTGAACAGGAGAGTAAGACTGCTCTGGTAGCTCTGGGAAAAGAGGATTCTCTCGGGAGTCAGCAGAAACCGAATTAGGGAAGTATAGCACATAAGGCCATGGAGCTGGTGGGACTTGGAGTCTGCATGGAACCAGTGCAAAGATGGAACCAGGTGAAACCAGAGAGAAGAGTGACCCAGAAAAAGATGGAACTTTGAGGAGTTGATGGATGAAATGTCATAGAGGAGCTGGTAGAATAAGTCAGCTTTGGTCTTTGTGGCCGAAACGAAAGGTTCAATGGAACCTCCTATTACCAGAAAGAATATCCCACAAGCCGCTTCAATGGTTGGAAAAGGGGACTTAAGGAAGACCTCACCGGCAGAACAGAAGGAAAGATGGTTGGTTTCAGAGAAAGAGATGGCCAGGACAAAGATCAGGACACTAAATGTGTTTGAGATGAAGGAGGAAGTGTTGTTTAGATCCTGCTGGTTTCATGTTAAAGGCCTAGTCTTCACACAGTTTAATGGTAAACCCAAGTGCAGTTGGGTTTGTTAATAATTGCAGGTTATGCATAGTGAACAGGTATGTATAATAACAAAAGAACCTGAAAGAACTAATGGGATTAGAGGACAGCCAGCATGGGAGCCACACATACAGACAACAGATGAAGATAAAGGTTGGAAAAGGGGACTTAAGGAAGACCTCACCGGCAGAACAGAAGGAAAGATGGTTGGTTTCAGAGAAAGAGATGGCCAGGACAAAGATCAGGACACTAAATGTGTTTGAGATGAAGGAGGAAGTGTTGTTTAGATCCTGCTGGTTTCATGTTAAAGGCCTAGTCTTCACACAGTTTAATGGTAAACCCAAGTGCAGTTGGGTTTGTTAATAATTGCAGGTTATGCATAGTGAACAGGTATGTATAATAACAAAAGAACCTGAAAGAACTAATGGGATTAGAGAACAGCCAGCATGGGAGCCACACATACAGACAGATGAAGATAAAGAGTCTCTTTCAAAGAAGGAAGACTGAGATGAACAGAAGGTAAATAACTCTACTAAGAGTAGAGAGGTTCATATGTTCTTTGATCAGAGATCTAATTCTAACTGTGGTGAGTATACATGTTGTTCTTGATAGCAGGTGTGATTGAATAGAGGTGTGAGTGATCTGTAGTTTGGGGAAAGTGGGAGAAGAGTGAAATGATGTGGAGATGTAATATATAACAGATGTGTTGTTTATTTGACTATTTTCTTCTCATTGTCAGAGAGTGTGACCATCACCCCTCAGGACTCTCGCTGGGTTGGGGCCTGGTGGTTGGGTTATGTGGTTTCTGGGCTGTTGACTCTTCTTGCTGCTTTGCCTCTCTGGTTCCTGCCAAGAGCTCTACCTGAAAACCCCCAAACCTCTAAACTAGACCACCCTTCAAACCAACACAAACACACACTCAGCATTACAGAGATAGCCAAAGGTATGTCAACCATCCACTGACCACAAGGGTTAGATACATTTAGAATTTAGGTCTAATTAAAGGACTTGTATAGTGCAGGAGTTGTATGGACTACTTTGATACACTTATGGATTTTTGTGACATTTTGGAGCTTTACAGTTTCAGTCTCTTTTACATTACATTTATATGTAATTATTATATAGTTGTATATTCCAAAAGTGGCCAAGAGATTCTTCATCAATTCAAATTTTGTATGACACAGATCAAAACAGTGAATAAAATTAGATTGGTATGATGATGATGATGATGATGATGATGATTATTATTATTATTATTATTATTAATTATAAAGTGTTATGTTTGTTTTAAAATGACAATGATGCTTGTTTTCTAGATTTTGGCCCATCTCTAAAGCGTCTGCTCACCAATGGGATCTATCTCCTGTACCTAGTTTACGGTGTATTGGCATTCAATGCCTTTACCATTGTCATAACATACACGCCAAAATATTTGGAGCAGCAGTTTGGGCAAAGTGCATCTAAGACCAATTTTCTCATAGGTAACAGCTGTCATATATATATATATATATATATATATTTTATTTATTTATTTTTATTTTTTTTGGCTGGCTGGCTGGCTGGCTGGATGTTTAAACTAGCTGTGCTTATATGTACAGGAGTCACGTCTATTCCGTCAGTGGCTCTGGGTATGTTCCTAAGTGGTTGGATTATGAAGAGGTTTAAACTGAGTCTGCTGGGATCTACAAGACTGATGTTCTTCTGCTCTGTAACCTCATTGGTTTGCACCATACCTTACTTTGCTCTCAGCTGTGAAAACATAGATGTTGCTGGGGTCACAGTGCCCTATCAAGGGTATTTTTTTTATTTCTAATTATTGCATCATGGAAAATATGCACTTTCTGTCCATTCAGTCTGTCCATTTTCCAAATCGCTTGTCCTACTTAGGGTCACAGGTATATATAGTATAATAAAATAAATTGTTGATGTGGCAGATCTATTGAAGTTCAAGATATAAGCCGTGGTTTACTCACTTCATGCAATACTGACTGTGGGTGTCCTGACTTCCAATGGGATCCAGTGTGTGGACAGAACGAAGTGACCTACATCTCTCCATGTCATGCTGGCTGCAATTCCACTCGGGGGGCAGAGCAGAATATGGTGAACTACTTCTTTTAACTCTTGACCTCAGATTCTTTGTCACATATTTTTATTTATTTATTTACTTACACATGTTTGTCAGACATTCCATGGCTGTACATGTATCCAGAGCTGGGGACTGACTTCTGGGAACTCCTCTGCAGTGCTTGGACAGTGTTCACGAGAGACTAGCTGCACTAAAATGTTCTACATCTATCTGGCACTGCAGTCTCTTGCCTTCTTTGTGTACTGTCTGGGCACTGTTCCCTTCTTCCTCGTCTCATTGAGGTTCTGTTTAATTTGTTTCCGTCATATTGTCAGGCAGATTCTTCATTTGCTTGTTCCATATTTTCAGTTGCATTTATTGTATTTGATTCAGTTTCACATATTGTACAACCTTTAATGTTTAAACAAACAAACAAACAAACAAGCTGTGAGTTGGATCATCGTAAGAGTCAAGGTTGGGAACCCTATTCACAATACATTGAGGCCAGAAACATCATACAAATTTGTAGATTTGAAATGGGTTATGAGATTATGTTTTATTTAGAAAAAAAAATTGGGAATTGTATGGATGATTTATTTTTTTGGTAAAAGTTTTAATGTTGTATGAAATATGTTCTTGCAGGATTGTGGATCCTGCATTGAAGTCTCTCTCAGTGGGTGTATTTCTGTTAGTTTTAAGAATTTTTGGTAAGTTTATGTTTGGAACTGCTAATAGTGCAAAGCATTGTTTTTATGAGGAAAAAGTACAAATTATTTCACAGATGTTTATATTTTTCTTGTCTTAGACACACGTTAAGCCACAGCATTGTTTTTAATGTAATTTCCCTCTTTTAAAGGTGGTATTCCTGCTCCCATTTGCTTTGGTGCTCTTATTGACTCGACCTGTCTGAAATGGGGCCAGAAGAAATGCGGTGGAAGTGGTACATGCAGAATGTATGACATTGAAACTTTCAGGTGAGCAGATCTGGCAGGACTATTCTATGTAGCCCTAATTTGAATGCAAAGAAACCCTGATTAATGTATAATAAACTGTAATTCGACCCCATCAGGTACCTATTTCTGGGACTGGTCAGCTCTCTGCGGACAATTAGCTATACCCTGTTATGGATTGTCACCATACAGATTAAGAGGAAAGTACAGAACGATAAGCAAATGTCCAAGGATGCAGAACTCCAACACCCTGTGCTATGTGATCCAGAACAGGAAACAACTCTAAAATAATGTTCTGCATCTATATATATATATATATATAGTCGCGGGGTGAATGAGAACACAGACTCGGTACTGATCGAAAGAGCCCCGGAGGGT